GAACAATATAAACTGGCTGGAGCTAAGAGCCATACACATGGCCCTAAAGAGATTCAGCAGCTTAGTACAGGGCCAGCACGTCCTGGTCTTAACCGACAACATCACAGCCAAGGCCCATATCAACAGACAGGGGGGAACGAGGTCCAAGCCTCTCATGCAAGAGGCCAGATTGCTGGGGTCTTGGGCGGAACTGAATCTTGCCTCCATCAGGGCGGAGCACATATCCGGAGTGGCCAACCAGCAGGCGGACTCACTGAGCAGAGCCACCGTGGACCATTCCGAATGGCAGCTGAATCCGGAGATCTTCAGAGAGATCGTGGACAGGTTTGGTTCCCCAACCCTAGATCTGTTTGCCTCCCCAGCCAACTCACAGCTTCCCAGATTCCTTTCCAGGTTCCCGTCCCCATCAGCGGAAGGAACAGATGCACTCCGCAGTCCCTGGCCCAGGGAACTGCTCTATGCCTTTCCTCCACTACCTCTCCTACTGGCCACGATCAGGAAGATCCTTCGCGAACAAGCAGAGGTTCTCCTGGTCGCCCCACATTGGCCGAGACGACCTTGGTTCGCTGACCTGATGGAGCTCTCCGCATCGGCTCCATGGAGGATTCCAGCCAATCGGATCTCCCTCATTCAGGGGGAGTTACATCATCCAGACCCTCAATGGCTCCAGTTAACCGTCTGGCACTTGAGAGGCAGGCCTTAGGCCTAGACTCATATTCGTCAAGGGTCATAGCCATGATCCAGCAATCCAGGCGACCCTCGACGAATAGAATATACGATGCCACGTGGAAGAGCTTCTGTAATTGGTGTTTAGCGCACAATATTGAACCCTTACAGGCTGCAGTGCCAGTTATCCTGGAGTTCCTGATGGATGGTCTGGACAAAGGTCTTTCCACAAGTACCATCCGTAGGCAGGTAGCAGCACTTGCCACGGTTATTTCCTATGGCAAGGAGCCCTTAACACAACACCCTATGATACGCTCCTTCCTAAAGGGAGCTAACAATGCCAGACCACCAACGGTACATAGATATCCCTCCTGGGACCTTCATCAGGTTCTACAGGCTCTCGTCTCACCACCCTTTGAGCCTATTGACACTTGTTTGCTCAAACATTTATCAATGAAGGTGGCATTTCTGGTTGCTATAACTTCAGCCAGAAGGATCTCTGAGCTGGCTGCCCTGTCAGTAAGAAAGGACCTGTGTATTTTCCATAAGGACAGGGTTACTCTCAGGTTAGATCCCTCCTTTGTGCCCAAGGTTAACTCCTTATATCATAGGTCCCAGGACATAGTTTTGCTGGACTTCTGTCCGAACCCATCTAATAACACAGAGGCTCAGTGGAACAGATTGGATGTTCGCAGGGCCTTATATTGTTATATACAGAGAACCTCATCTTTCCGCAAGACTGAGGCTCTGTTTGTGTCATTTCACCCATCGTCGTTAGGACAAAAGGTTTCCTCGCCCACTATAGGCAGGTGGATTAGAGCTTGTATTTCTCTGGCATACCAGACTCAGTCACTTCAAGCTCCCAGCCATATCACGGCCCATTCCACCAGGGGCGCAGCCACTACAGCAGCCTGGTCTACCCAGGCATCCATAGAGGAAGTTTGTAGGGCAGCAACATGGGCATCGCCCTCCTCCTTTGTCCGTCACTACAAGATGGATGTATACGCATCCTCTACGGCTTCATTCGGCCGCAAGGTACTAGAACACGCATTAACATTGGATGGGACCCAGGCCCAATCTAATTTCCCACCCTAGGGACACAGGGCTTTGGTATGTCCCATCCGTGGGTTCTCCATCCAATCATGCTGGAGAAAGGGGCGTTGTCTTACCTGAACGCCTTTTCTCAGCATGATGATGGAGAATCCACTCCCTCCCATTAGGTCAGTTGGCCTGGTTCCCATTTGTTCAGACGCGTCGGACTAAAGTCTGGGTATCGCCTTAGTCTAAAACTGGGGTGCACTTGGCACAGAGGGGGCGTTACCAATTTCAGACTTAGTCCAATTGGAGCAGATAGATTAAGACAACCCATCCGTGGATTCTCCATCATCATGCTGAGAAAAGGCGTTCAAGTAAGACAACGCCCCTTTTTCTTGCGGTTGTTCCATTACCAAGTACACCAAGGACCTCTCAAATATAGAAATAGTTATTTCAATTCATGATCCATGAAAAGTTTCCTCTCTCTCTCCCCAAATTCAAAAGAAACCTGTGACATGTAAATCCTGGGATAATCTAAATATAATCAATTGCACAAATTCAGTCCTTATCTTTATATATATGGCACAGTGTACATCTTTACAGTGTACAGAGATATACCCAGCTGTGTTCAAGGAAACTAACCTCTTGAGTAATGTTCAAAAAATCATAGCAAAACCACAGGTTGAACTTGGAAACTATCAAACCCAGAATTTTGGGGGTAATAAATAGTAAGCAACACTGAGAATATAACATAATGTAAATCAAATTAGAATTAGAATAAACTCTAGTTTTGGCTTTGCCCTTAAATCTTCTTAAAATGATGAATTTCCTATCTGAGAATTATTTAAGAAAGAGCTACATTTGAGGACTGCAAGTAATCTGAATACAAGACACGTAGACAGGATTTTCTGTTGACATGAACATTGTTTCATCTTTTTTTTTCTTGAATATAGATACATGGCTATCTGTTTTCCTAGTTCCATCTATTTGCTTCCACGTGACCTCCTCCCTTAAACTGATTTAATTTGGAAAGAGATAGATTATAGTCAGATTCCTTATGGATGAATGGTCCTTATAACAGGAAGTGGGTCATGAAAGCAAACAGGATCTCTGTCTGCCTTTAACAATTGATCCAAATGCAGGGTGTGAACAGAAACTGTATATTCAATTAGGTAATAAAACCAGATTGAAAGGTTTAAAAATTGTTGGTATCTCTGGTGGGTTCTTCTGCTTAATTCCTCCAGGGTTCAAAACACAAAAAGAAAGAAAGCAATTAACAGGCTAAGGAAAGGAGGATTTCCCATGTCTTTTGTTTGACAAAGATGTACCAATTTTTTTTCTTGGAGATGTGAAAATCACTATGCCAAGATAAATTTTTTATCTGCCTGTCCGTCCATCTGATATGAAATAGCCAAGCCTATAGCTACTTATGTTCCCCACTACCAGAAGCTTGCAAAAGGAAGAACAAAGCCTCATTTATCATCCTCCGATGAGAATTTGGTTTTATAAATGTATTGTTCTCTGTGAGGCAGCTTTGTTTGATGAAATGCTGAGTGCAGTGTAAAAATACCCTTTCTCTCTGTAATTTGCACTCCTCTCCATTTAAAGCTATTCTTGCTGCAAACGAGAATTGAAAGCTGCTAAAATTAAGTGGTGTCAGTTTTCAATGACACTTTAATGATAGAGCGCTCAGCAAATGAGATGAGAATGCATCCCAGCATCTCGGCTAAAGATCGTAACCAGCGCTAAACAGCAATATGCCCCAGCTAGGTTACACTTTTTCTGCTTCATTCATATTTAGTAAGAGCTGAAATTGGGAAGCGCTAATTAAAACGGTCATAAAGGAAGAAATGCAAATGCCTAACATAGATAATGCAAAACAACTCAAGCTGGTAAGTCAATAGGATCATCACCTTAAGGAATAAAGGCCATTAAAAAGAAATTGGCAGAGACTATACACAAGCATACACTGGCTCATTTTGGGAGGCATAGCAGTAACAGAGTGGCTTACAGAAAGGATGTTTTATTATTTAAAGCACATATTTTTAAACTAAAAATCAACAACAAAAAACTATTTTTTCAAACCACTTATAGGTTTGAAATAGGAAGTTTGAATAGGAAATGCATTCAAAAAAGCATCTGTTTCTCTGTCTATCTTTCTACCTATACACATATTTTGTCTGTGTTTTTGGTCAGAGTCTGTCTACCTACCTACTTAAGAGTGTATCTATCTATCCATCTATCTATCTATCTATCTATCTATCTATCTATCTGTATGTGAAACTTCTTGAGTGATTGTCAAATTATGGAATTTGCTTTCATCTTTAGTTTTCTCAGCAAGAATATAGAAAAGATTTGTAATTGGCTTTGCTTTAGGCCTTTAGGCCGTTTAGAGATACTTGTGCCTGTGGAGCCTCCTTTGGCCTCACCCACATTAAGGATTGCTCTTTTTTTTTACAGCTTTCTTATTGACTTATTCACTCACTAGAAATAGTGAAGGATCAACTTGGCATGGTTGTGAAAATTAGAAGACCACAGATGGGCAGGATCCGGGACACCAGTTAACTGAAAAGCTGCAGATTCTCTTTGGGAATAGGCATAAAGCATTTGTCCAGAAAGCTATGATGAATCAGGCCCAAAGACCACTTAATTATCTCTTGATCTTGGGCTCTGTCACCAAACCTCCTAAAGTTCAAGTTATGTAAAACAGCCAAAGGAAAACAAAGATATGCTAGAAAGTGCCATATATCCACCACAGTGAACCATGATGTATATTTATATTGTATTAACATTTAAAATAGCTAATTCAAGCCAAAAGGGGAAACATTTGCTTGCTTTTTATGCAAGGCAGAAAAGAAACTGTCTATTCGTTTATTATGACTAATTTCTACCCCATCAGAACTTTTTAAAAATTATTTTACATAATGAAACAAAAAGGAAACATCAAAGAGCTATGATGACAAGGTTGTTGTTGCTAGCTGCGAAGTCGTGTCCGACCCATCGTGACCCCATGGACAATGTTCCTTCGGGCCTTCTTGTCCTCTACTATCTTCTGGAGTCCATTTAAGCTCACGCCTACTGCTTCAGTGACTCCATCCAGCCACCTCATTCTCTGTTGTCCCCTTCTTCTATTGCCTTCAATCTTTCCCAGCATTAGGTTCTTCTCCAGTGAGTCCTTCCTTCTCATTAGGTGGCCAAAGTACTTGAGTTTCAACTTCAGGATCTGGCCTTCTAAAGAGCAGTCAGGGTTGATCTCCTCTAGGACTGACCTGTTTGATAGCCTTGCAGTTTAGGGGACTCGCAGGAGTCTTCTCCAGCACCATAGTTCAAAGGCCTCAGTTCTAAGGTATAATTTTGTAATTAGTATCTTACTTTAATTTGCTAGCATTGAAAATAATGACATTTCAAATCTATAGAACAGCAGTTCCCAACCTTTCTATACCCCGCACCCCTATAATGCTTCTGATATATTCTTGCATGCCTTACAAAAGTTCAAAATAATGGCAACTAATTATGCATATAGACAATAATTTTGAAAACCCAAGTTTTCGCACCCCCTGGAATATCATCTTGCACCCCCAGAAGTGTGAGCACCCTCAGTTGGGAACCTTGCTATAGATCATCATGTAAATCAGAATATAGAACTGGGAGTAGACAACTTGGTGTACTCTAGAAGTTTAAAACTACACATATCATGATCCTTTATAGAGCTGATTTACATGGAGGTGCAAAATCTGATATCAAAATGAAGACATCAGTTTTTCTATTGCTCATGAAAATGTTTTTTCGGTCGGCTGGTATTCACAAGACTTCCAAACTTTTATTCCCATTCATTATGCCTAAATCTGGAGGAGAGGGAAATAAGAAAAGAGCATAAGATTAGCTGCCTAATTAACCACCAAGCTTGAATTAAGAAAAAAAAGGATATATAAATTAGTGTAAGATAATTGAAGAAACAAGAATCAATATTAACATTTATGAATCTATATTAAAGAAGAGTATACCGAAATTATATGCACATCCAATGGTTTGGTGATTTACAAAACATTTCCAGGTTACATGCAAACTAGCATTTACATCCCAACGTTGAAAAACAGTGGGAAATAATAAGGTGTGGGTCATCCCAAGATGAACAAAAAGAGGAGTCTGGGTACAACTTCAGGTTTCTCAATAATATTGCTGATAATGCTTAGAATGAAATATAATGTGACTCTCAGAATTATATTAGAGTTAGGAGAAGATGCTTAGGAGATATTTGCCCTTTCTTAGATGAGTGTGGAAAATTTCTATGTACAGGTAGATTTCCTTAATGAAATAGAATATATTAATGCTTTTGAAGCTCTATGTATTTATATTGTGCCTTCTTTTTATCACCATAATATGCATGAATTTTACTAATATGTACATACAAAGTATGTATGTATTTACTAGATTTATAAGGTGACTATGAGCAGCATATTACAGAAAGCGAACAATGTACCCCCAAAACCCTCCTAAATAATCTTCATCAGAGTCCAGTCCAAGCTGGGAATAAACAAAATGGAGACTGCTTTAGAAAGAAAGTTGTAGTTTATTGAAGAGCAGAGCCAGACAGAAATGTGGCTCTGGGAAAGCTGACCATATGTAGCTAGGAGTGGTGGGTTTTTATATCTTCTTGGGCTTTTGTGTTTGGAGTTGTTTCTTGTTCCTGTGGCATGAACCTTGACCTGAGCTTTTGAGCATGTCCTTTTGATATTCTGATAGTGGTGGGTTAATCCTATTATGTCCTAAAGGTCATATCCTGCTTCCCTGGGGCTGAGGCTGATGGCTATGTCCTGTGTTGGATTTTTTGGGGTGAGAGGTTGTTGGTTCTAGGGATCTTTGTCTTTCTAATCCCATCAGCTCCAAGCTTCCTGGTGACAGTATTTTGAAAGAATGATCAAATCTGCATTTCTAAAAGCTGGCCCACTTGGTTTCTGGTTGGGGGAGGGAGACTTGGGGCTGTCTTTGCTTAAGATTTTTCATTTTTTCCTTGGGGAAATATAATATTCTGTCCTTTTTAATACCCCCCCCAAATATTTCCTTCTCTAGGAGGGTGGGAAGGTGCTGACTTCCAATATAACATAATATAGATTGCATAAAGATAAAATACAAAAAGTAAAATGGAATAAAACAGAATAATAAAAACAATCCAAATGTCAAAACTCGATTATTCCTTTTAAAGTCTGAAAGTCTGTTTAATCAAAATTGAAAAGCAGATATCTTAGTCCTAACTTAATAATGTCCCATGATATGTCTAATTACAAAACATAACAGAATTTGGAGTGTTATCATTCTGCATCTTTGTGTGTTTTATGTCCTAATCCAAATCCCAGCCATTTTAATTTTTTTAAAAAAAATGCTATTGATGGGATGTGGACTGGATATACAGTTTTATCAGATGGTGTCAGAAAGCTGATCTTTGTTCTACAGGATTCCCTCACCCACTTGCAGAGTGCAATAAAAGGAAATGAGAATTGAATGAGACAGGAAAGGTGTGTGGGGGGGAAATGGGGGACAAATCTAGTATTACATCAAGTAATACTAGCCTCAGGTTCTGTGACAACAGAAATAAGACAAAATGCAGCCCTAGACGAGCAGACAACATGTCACCTACACGGAGGGCCTTTTCATCCTCATCCATGTTCCCTCAGCAACAGTTTGCCCCCTTCAGACACAATCTTGAGAGACACAGGATGAATGCTTCCTTTTTCAAAAGTGTCACTTAAAGTAGCTTACCAGTTGGGTTGGCAAAAAAAATAATATTTTTTGATATCTGTTGTCATGTTTTATTAGATTTAGGATACTATTATTTTATTTACTTAGAAGTTTAAAAGTATCATTTTAAGAGGTAATGCCACAGGTACAATGTTAAACTGGTGGCAGGTTTTTGTTTTTGTTTTTTTTGCAGCAAAGGATCAGAGTGTTCTTTATAAGCGGCTGCAATGGATTTTTTTTAGGTATCCTAAATAATATTTTTAAATGTTTCTCAATGATTTTTTTAAAAAAAACATCCAATTCTAAAACTCAATGATTAAACTGAATGGAAATTGTATAATAGAATTAGACCTAAGTATTGAAAAGTGAGCTATACTTGAAATCACTGTAAATAAGAGGAGAAATAAGAGCTGTTTTGTCTTTAGAAGTATATCTGTGGAACTATGTTCTTTGTGTTAGATTTATATCTTTCCCTGGAAGAGCTCAGGATGGTATACCTAACATTCTCTTCCATTATTCCCCATAGAAGGAAAAGTGGGTTAGATTAGCTGAAAGAAACTGGCTAAAACCTATTCACTGAGATTCCATTGCTAAGCGTCAGTGGTGGGTTTCAGCCAGTTTGCACAGTTCGGCAGAACCGGTAGCTAATTTTTTATTGCCCAGGCCCAGAATGGACTTCCACAAGCGTCATCCACACAGAGAACCAGTTGTTCACACATCTGAATCCCACCGCTGCTAAGGGTGGATTTGAACAAAGTTTCCTCAGTTCAAATCCAGCCAGTGGTAAGATGGCCAATATGGTGCCACACTCCAAGCTCCATCTTTTGGTACATGTGTAGACTTCATGGCATACTAGTGGCTATTAATACCACCATTATTCAGTGAAAGTTCAATGAAGCTTTGATTCCTGAAGAAAGGTCTACTTTTAATCAAGGAGGAATACCATCTCTGATACACTAAATACTCCTGTAACAAGTAAATGCTCTTTCTGTTCAAAATACAATCTGGCAGATTTTAGTCATTCAGAAATAAAATAAAGACGAGGCTTGGGGAGAATGGCCTTAATCACATCTCTACTGCTCTCAGTAATTTTTTAAAGCGTTTGATGAAAATTGTCAGACATTTCTGTACAATATTTCAAAAAGCTCTGGTAAATCACAGTATGGTTATGGCAGCATCTAAACATAAGATAAAGGTAATGCATTGACTAACAGCATTGCTGTGGAGAAGGATAATGGGATTTGTTGGCAAAGAGCTGCAAATTGTATGGAGAAAAAGAGGCCAAAAGGCAAAACTAGAGAAGTGATCAGAGGATGGTTTCTAGAAAGCAGAAACAAAAATATATAGGAATAAAATAGGCCTGAGAGAAAAGATTAACTACAATGAACTGGAGAAGTGTGTTTCATAAAAAAATAATACTTTGGACAATATGTTTCTTTCTTTAATAGTTTTGCAGTAGACCGGTGAAGTAAAGGAAGGAAGGATTTGTTGATTTGAGTTTGAGAAATAACCACATAGTCAAATCTGTTTGGCTGCCTGTTGTCCATCAGAAAGTCTATACATGACCAAATTCTAATTTGGCTTTATTGCATAATCCATGCATTCAAATCTGCTTATGACATCAAATTTGTGACATTATCTATGTCATCTATCACCTGTATTGATCTGGAGCTCCACAAGAAAAAAATTCTTTCATTTAAAAAAAAAAAGTTATATCAAAGCTGAATAGAGAGACAGAGAGAGCAAGAGAAAGACAGAAAAGACCTACTTCCAGCATCCTATTAAAGTATAGAATGACAGAGTTGGAAGGGACCTTGGAGATCTTCTAGTCCAATCTCTTGCTCAGGCAGAAAGCCCTATACAATTTCAGACAAGTGGCTGTCCAATTTCTTCTTTAAAACTCCTGTGTCAGAGCATTCACGACTTCTGGAGGCAAGTTGTTCCATTGATTAATTGTTCTAACTTTCAGGAAATTTCTCCTTAATTCTAGGTTGGTTCTCTCCTTGATGTACTACTATTCCAGGGGAATTATTAAGTGACCATAGAGGGTATGCCTTCTCCATTCATTGCTGACATTGGTCACATGATTTTGGCTCTTCCAGAGATTTTGAGGATATAGGAGAATGTAAACTTGTAAACAATATACAACTATGTAAACCTTGTCGATGAACTTGTGAAAATGCTGACCATCTGAAACCATGAAATTGTCACTGTAAAAATCTAAGAGGATAGCAATAGCAATACCACTTAGACATATATACCACCCCGTAGCACTTCACAGCATTCTCTCTGTGGTTTTACAATGTCATCATATTGCCTCCCAACAAGCTGTGTCCTCATTTTAGCGACCTTGGAAGGATGGAAAGCTAAGTCAACCTTGAGCCCATCAGGATCAAATTCTAGGCTGTGGAGATATGTTCTGTAGATCCAAATGTTCCTACCAACTAAATCTTCTATTGCATAAGAAATGATGCCCTGTCCCACCTCCTGCACCCCCCACCCCATTGCAGCCTTCTTTACCACACTTACGAACAGTACTTTATGAAAAAACAAACCACTTTGAGGATATTTCTTCATGCAATTACCTTCTTGTATACCTTAGAAC